ATTTTTGATTGAGATAAAAAAGTCAGTGGTCACGAAATTAGTGAACTTAATGAATTAAACTGAAGTATACTTCGCTAAAGCTCTCCGTGGCCAAATTTCGTGCTCCGCTTCACGGTGGGTTCGAATCCCGCTCGTGCCATTGACTTTTTTATCTCAACTAAAACCTTAATTAATTGTAATATATTAATTGGTCAAGCGGACTACGAAATTAGTGAATTTAATTAATTAAAGACAATTAATTAAGGTTTTTAGTTGAGATGAAAAAATTGTCTTGGATTAATTGGTCGAGCGGACCACGAAAATAGAGAATTAATGAATTAAACTGAAGTATACTTCACTAAAGGTCGTGGGTTCGAATCCAGTTCGTGACATTAACTTTTTTATCTCAACTAAAAACCTTATTAATTTAAATATAGACACATCTTTTACAAAAGTCATTGTTAGATTTTCATGAAAATAAATTTACCCTGGATATTAAAAATGTTGAAACGAGCTGACCATCCAAACTAGCAAAAATACTAGTTCAGTTGTCTAGTTTCTGATTGTACATAAAAACCAGCGTAGACTGTTATTCAGCCAAATCCCTAAATTACAACTCCCAATAAAAAATAACACGCTTTTTAATATTTTCCGTAATAATCTTTTCGTTATGAAAAAAATAATTGGCTTTCTAAACCTTTTCGTGTATGAGCTTGGCAAAATCATTTTCTGAGATATTGAACCGAGAACAAACACAGGCCTAGTTATAAATTGTATCCTTTCCCATATAACCCAGCGTAGCCAAGCGACCAGCGATCTTATCTCTCACGCAATAACGAACGAACGAACAATGAAAACAGATTGAAATAGCTCAATTGTACGTTGTAATAAGTATGAGCTGATTTTCTTAACGATTCTTTCATTTTATTAAGCATTATAACAAATCCTATGGTCTGGTGAACAATAATTACCGTTTTAAGATAAAAGACCTGTTTAATTACTAATTTTCCTAAGTTCCTAGGTTTGTTAAATATATTTTGATATGGAAATCAAAAGATGTTTTAATCAAAAGTACATTGTGTAATAATATTAATTATATATAAATATATAGCTGAAACTCCCAACTTTAAATTATATTAGCCAAAGGACGAGTTTCCTAACTCAAAACTCCGTTATTTATTCGGGCGGGCGTTGACACTGTGACAAATTAACAGATTCATTGTCCCGGAAAAAAATAATTACCACCGTTTTTCTTGATGTAGAGAATACTCGAGTCCATTTTGGCAACGGAGTCACAATTAAAAATCACGTGAAATTTGTTAAATGGAGATGAATGTAATGATAATTCTTCTGGGATGGAAATACGAGTCGGTCTGTCATTAAAGCCCCTGGCCAAGGTCCAACAATAAAGGCATATGTCTAGGGGATAGGGATAAAAGGCATCTGCACCGCGACCTGAGTAAATCTATTGTGCTCTTCTGTTTTATAACTCATTGACCACCTTCAGTTTATTAGTCAAATCAGTCTTACAGCCTTACAAGTGTAGGATCTTGCTTGCGGCTTTTCCTCTCCTAGTTGGAAGAAGTTCGCCAAGGATTGGACTACTCTGACTACTATCCACGCGGGAGCGCCACAGGGCAATGTGCTCGGACCAATTTACACCTCAGACATCTCAACTACACCCTATAACCTCGCATCCTCTAAGGGAGAAGGGCGAATCCAGGTTGGTCATCGAGGGGGGTGTAAAAATTTCGATTTTTTTTTTGCACACGAGACCTAAAAACGTGCAAACTCTACACATCGTCTTTCATCCGAACGCAATACTTTCTCCCCCTTCAAAGTGAAAAAACCACAAATGAAATCACTTAATTTAACTGTTTGAATATGTTTACAAAATGTTTTTCCGTCATGGTCTGCAATGTAAAAGTTTTTAGACACCAGCATTAACGAATATAAAAAAATTATCGCTAACTTACAGGTTATCACATCGAGAGATCAAATAAGAACATTAGATGCAAAAAGCTTTAGAACAACATGTCTAATCATGAAAACAAATCTGCAATGTAATTTTTTAGCACAAAACATAATCGAACGAAAAAAAACAGTCAAGGCAGTAACTTAAGTAAGTGAGAGGTTGACTTCATTCTTTTGCGGAATCGATCCAGCGGTGCTAAAAATCTGCTACTTTTAAAATTATAGAATAATTTGAAAACAATGTGTATATATTATTATTTATTTTATACAAAACGTAACATCATAAACATATTGCAATGTGATAAAAAAGTTAGTCCAATGTTTTTGTTTATTATTAACTGCTGGCGTTAAATTCCCTAGACCGCTGAAAATAATGAAAATAAAATAATGGTTTCCTAGTTAACTACCTCATTTTATAAAAATTTTATTTAAGCAATTTAATTAATTATTTTCCCGTGTAACTTCACTATTACTTTTTGGTAAAAATGTGAGATTCACGGAAAAAGACGTGTGATGGCCACACCATATTTTTTAATAATTCACTATTTTTCGTGGTCCGCTTGACCAATTAATATCATTTAATTAATTAAGGTTTTAAGGGGGGATAAAAAAAGTCAGGGTCACGAGCGGGATTCGAACCCACGACCTTCGGCTTGATACGCCGCTACTCTACCACTTGAGCTATCGTGACCTCGTGAGGTCGTGAGGTCACGATAGCTCAAGTGGTATTGTAGCGGCGTATCAAGCCGAAGGTCGTGGGTTCGAATCCCGCTCGTGACACTGATTTTTTTATCTCAACTTAAAACCTTAATTAATTTTTTTAATAATGTACACAATTTTAAAAACTTTTCTTTTTACCGTGATTTCTCCGTTAATTTAAAAGAAATCTTGGCTTATTTGGTAATAAAAAAAATAAGAAACGCCTACGTTTTCATTTTATTTAAAAAAAAAAATTAATTTGAGCTTTTAAACGAAAGAAATTAGGTTTGAAAGTACAGTATTTGAGAAAAATCGTGATTAAAAACGGGATTTTTTCAAATTCTAATAACTTTTAAAATACTGTTTGGATTTGAGCCAAACCGGGCTTAAAAGTTACAGAAAGAATTCAACTTAAAAAACTGTGCCAAAAATGCCAAAATCCAATAGTGAGGGGTGGAGCTAGTAGTGAAGATGAACAAACCGAGCTGTTGAGCGGAAAAAAACGCAAAAATGGCAAAAAAATTTGATTTTTTTTTTTTTAATCGCCTATAACTCTTGGCCCTCTCTCGCCCAGTCTTGGCTGAAAAGCAATCCCAACCGTCTTTCTTTGATTATTTACCACCCTGCCCTGATATGCGATGAAAAATGCGACCGTTAGAGAGCGCTAGATTTTTGAAAAAATCTGCCTAAAATTTTACATCAACATATAGATTTTCTGATATCAAATCGAGTGATCGAAGTATCGAACCGCGAGACAAAAAGCCAAAGCGTGGCAAGTTAAGAGGAAACTGTTGTAATATTGAGAAGGTTTATCAGAGGTAACAGATCAAGGTTTATATAATCCTGAAATATAAGCCTCTTTGCTTAATTAAAGCTAAACTAAGACATATTACATATAACATATAACTTCGCTCCGGGGGGGGGGAGGTAATTCCCCTTTCACACCCCCTTTGCCACTGGCATCCTTTGCAAACGATTCATGTTTTCCTCTGATCCAGGTCAGGGAATCGCCTCGTACTAAGTAGAATTATTTGACAAACCGCAAAGTTAATTTAGAGCCTAAAACTCACAGAGTTGAGTATAAGTGTTATCAATATATTAATTAACTTTTCTGATAGGAAAGCGTCTTTTTACTATCCTGTTGTGAATGTTAAGGAACAATGTATTGGTCAAACAAAATTATTTTAAAAAAATTAAAAATCAGACCGACATCCTAATTCTACTTTATGGTCTTTTTCTCCACCAGGATTTTTAGTTAAAATACCTTTTTTGCATTATATTCCTGAATTTGATTTATGAACCTCTGCGGAAGGTAGATCAAAAAAATAATATCAGTCAAATGAAACTTGTATTTTTTTTTTTTTTTTTTGTTACGAGGGTTCGCAACAGCAGAGGTTATATCAACCCTCGGAGTGCCGGTGTTTTTGAAAAAAAAGCCCATTTGTAAGTATGTCGGGTTCGAATGCAGGGCCNTTTATGAACCTCTGCGGAAGGTAGATCAAAAAAATAATATCAGTCAAATGAAACTTGTATTTTTTTTTTTTTTTTTTTTTACGAGGGTTCGCAACAGCAGAGGTTATATCAACCCTCGGAGTGCCGGTGTTTTTGAAAAAAAGCCCATTTGTAAGTATGTCGGGTTCGAATGCAGGGCCGCTGGATTCGAACCCGGGACCTTTACCTTACAGTGATGAGCGCCGTGTCAACGCGTAAACCGTTGCGGCCACCGATGCCCTCTAAAATAAAACTTGTAATTATGCAAATATTTTTCTGGACAATTCAAATAGTCTTGCCATATATAGACTGTAGGTATACCGGATAGGACCCACTTTCTATTTGGTATACTAACTAGCTTTCGGAAAATAGCTCAAATCGGAATTCCATTCGTTGTAATTTTTTACGAAAAAAAATAATTTTAGATTTTCAGAACAAGGTGAGACCTGCTGTCTAATTTAAGCCTGGAAAATGCCCTTCACGTGGTTTTAAACCAACCGGGTCCCAGCGAACGTATATCTTTCTTTGTAAATAAATAAACTAACCCGTTTTCCGTTTACCCTAAGTTAAACTCCGATATATCTCCAGAGGCATAACTTTATTTTTCATCTTCAGACTCAATATTATTCTTAGTTGTGTTAGTCAATACAAACAAGAAAGGCAACTCTATCTTGAAACATTTGGAAGCTGTTATTTTACACAAAACACATAACAACTTGGCGCCATTTAGCATACAGACTGGAGAATTATTTTTATAAACTTAGTACTGTGCCAAAGCAGTTTATCATTTTTAAATAAACTGAAGACTGGTGGGCTATAGTTAAAGTTTTAAAAAATTATTATTTTCTAGTCGTTACCTGAAATTTTTTTTCTTCATCCTCAAATTCTGAATCCTGGAGAACTCTCCCCTGAAAAAGACATTTGTCTATCAATAAAAAAGATCTATAAATACAATCTTTTACATAATAGAAAAAATCAAATTTAACCTGCGAAATAAAATTAAAGCGGATTCCTCGTACAGTTCAGATGTGTTGATTTGGGTGGAAAATTGAACTTTACGAGAGGAAGCATCTACAAAATGGCAATTACACTCTCTCCTTTGCATTCACAAGACTCGACTTGACATTAACCAACAAGCTCCTCGTTAAATAAAGTGTTTATAAGGCCCGAATGTTAAGTTGCCTCTACTCGCTAGAATAACACTGATAAACAGATAAAACAGGATAAGTTTATCTCTGCTAAACCCAAAACTATCAATCCAGACGTCTCTGTCTTATTTAAAACCAGACTTCTTTACACATTAAATAATAAATAGCCGTTTTTAAAAATAGTGTGTATAAAGAGAATACACAATTTCATACTTTGTATATAAAAGTTTACGAATGAAAGTCTAAAAATTCTAATTTAAATTCAATAAAGCAAGATTAAAGCTTTTATCATAAATAGGTTTTAATTAGCCAAAATTGGATTTAAATATGTGCATAGAAATTTTAAAATTGGCCTACCGACGATGTGAAGGTGCATGATTATATGGTCCTAAATAATTATATTTCCACATTCACCCTAAAAGAAAGAATAACTTAATTTAACTTTAGTTGGACTCATGGTACTCAAAATACTATAAAATTTACAAATGGTATGGTAAGATAAAACTTGGTTATGATGGGATATTGTTCAATTATTCAGTCTACCAACAGCTGAGAGGCCGGCAGGTTCGAAACCTCGAGGTCATTCCACCATTCGCTCTAATAAATACAGTCATAAAGGGTAAAATATTTCAAACCATATTTACGACTAAACGTCGAAGAACCAACACGGATTTAATTGATAATTCTTATAATTTTGTGAGGTAAGATGAACCAAAAGGTAAAAGAGAAAATTTATTTTAAAATATAAAAACTAACTTTCTTTAGAACGTTGATTCCCCTGATTTCAACACTTTACTGAGTAGCTAAAAAACTTTTTTATTTATTATCTGACGTGTTAGATTCCTTTGTTGTGGATTATTGGTTGGGGAGTTGGCTGGTAACCTCGAGGTCATCCCACCATTCGCGCTAATAAATACACTCATAAAGGGTAAAATATTTCAAACCGTATTTACGACTAAACGTTGAAGAACCAACACGGATTTAATTGATAATTCTTATAATTTTGTGAGGTATGATATTTACATGAAGCAAAAGGNGTGCATTAAGAACAAAAGATGCGTTGCGATTGTGATAGTGATTATTGTGATAAACGCTGTGGACTGTACGCGACGTGTGCTTGCGTCGGATAGATGTGCACACCACACCAAAACGTGGCAAGGCGTCGGGTAGCGTCGCATGGCGTAGCATCGGGTAAGTGTGTTCCTGGCTTTAGTCTTTGACACGGCGCTCATCACTGTAAGGTAAAGGTCCCGGGTTCGAATCCAGTGGCCTTGCATTCGAACCCGACATACCAATGGGCTTTTTTTTCAAAAACACCGGCACCCTGAGGGTTTATATGACATCTGCTGTTGCGAACCCTCGAAAAAAAAATTATGCATAATATAATATCAAAATAAAAAAATAAAGTACTAGAGTTTCTTCAATAGATCAACATGACCATTGAATGAAAAATAACTAGTCAGAAAAGACGCCAAAACACACTTGAAGTTATCATTTATAGAATAATAAAAAAGTCACTCGGGTACATGAGGAAAGAGAGAGAAAACAAACAAGTCAAATTTATCGGATTTGTTCTTGAAACAAGAAACCCTTAAAGAAAAACGAAAAGAATTCTTTTTCAATATGGGGTAAGTAATTCAGGGGGAAACGAGTCAAATTCAATTTATTGACCCTCTCATGACCTCTTCTTGTATCAAGTGAAGTGTATTTTATTTTATCCCTGACCATTGTTGCACACTGTATTCGTATCATAGCTTTCCAGTTGGAAGCCGATCAATATTTCAATTGCTAAGGACTTGTTTATGTAAAATTTCTATTTCCTGAAATCCAAAAATAAATATGTAAAGCCATGGGATAGTTTCACGCTCAATCTACATCGATTATGGCTAACGTAGTTGGATCTTTACCAAAATTAATTTTTTGATTTAAAGGTAATCCAAGTTTTAAAAAAACTGTACTACATAGCAGCTTGTAAAATAAAAAGCCTGTTGAAGATGTTTTATTTTCTTTATAAATCATTCCTCGCGATTGCTTAAAAAAAACGCCAACTCATTAACATCAAAGGCAGGCGTTATAGGGCTTGTGACGCCATTTGCATAGAGATTAGCCCGTTTTAAAGAATTCAGAGGAAAATCTTTGAAAGTCATTCCTGAAAAATGTAACGGCCCGCTCCCGGCCGGTGGTGTGCTATTAATACGTCGGCGATTTATTTATCTTGCCGAAAGCACAGTCCATTTGTAAGAGTTTCGTGGGGGGGGGGGGAATGACTGAACCATCCGGTATTTGTAAATTTAAAAACACTTAACGACGACGAGCCAACGATTTTAAAAACACTCAATTTGTGAATTCCATCCTGCATGTAGATTTTACAAATTCTACTAAAAATATTGCGATATTCCTAGTAATTTTTCGGAAATAGTATTGTTTTAAATACTATAGCTAATTTGATGAGAAAGTATTAAAAAAAGAATATTATCTTGATTTAATGGTTGAAGATGAAGCAAGAGTAGGTATAGAGGTAAAAGGGACGAACTATACCCTAGCAAAGCCCCGTGGACTAATCTCAACAATTTTCCAAACTGAAGTCCTTGCAATAAAATACAACCCTGCATACAAAAGTTTATAAAAAAAAATACGGAACATGCACAGATTAGATCTCAGACAGTCAGGCAGCTGACAGAAACTAAATTTAATTGTCTGGGATTGCCTAATTGCCTAATGGCTCTAGGAAAACACAACAATATTACAATAAATTGGATTCCTGGACATGAAGGTATAAGAGGAAATGAACAGGCTGACCAACTAGCCAAAAGAGGCAACCCATGGGAGCAGAATCACTACTAGCAGACGAAGAATCACAACTAGTTGCACCGAAATAATTGCTTAAGTTGGAACTGGAAAAATTGAACTGAGGAAAAACCCAGCACTGGACAAAAGGACGGGGTATGAGGCAAAGAGATTTATAAATCTCTAGTGATAATTTGGAAAAATGGAAAAATGGGGCAATGCGCCCAGATTTGGCTTTTCCTCATTTTCTAATTTCATGACTTTGTACATTTTTTAACAATTTCTTATGTTATAAACTGTTTATTTAGCCTAGTCTAGACGAAAAGAACGTATAATATGAATAAAATATCAAATTAAAAAGGAACCAGAAAAGAAAATGAAAGAACTCTTCTCTCTTAGCAGGCAGGATTTAAAAAACAAGCTTTTTTTCCAGGACAATACTTTCTTAATTATCCCCTAAACAAGGCGAGAAAAATCGAGATAGAAACATGCCGACTCTGGCCGGAGGAACCATAGACATCGGCACATGTCCTTTGTGAATGTGAAGCATTAGCCCAGTTACGGTACTTCGTAAGGAAATTTTTATACCAAAGGGAGTGCACCAAGAAGCAGCGAAAAAAGTTCATGGTCTCATGGGAAAAAGTTAACTTTTCAAGATATTGCTACAATTTAAAGAGGTGTCACAATAGCTCTATATAGTTCACGTTCTGACGGCTCCAAAACCGACAAGGGTATCGGACTGGAGTCTTCGGGGTGATCCCAACGACCAAACTGACGGTAAACCTAGGGAAATATACTACTGTTTTCCAGACTGAAATCATAGCGATTGAACAATTCTCCAGAGAAATAAAAAGGCTAGGAATACATTACCATAACCATTTTATCTGTCAAGGAGCACAGGGCCCGACGAAGGCAAAGAGTGTATGGAACTGTATGGAGGCCCTGAATGACGTGATCGTGGCATGGGTCCATGGATATTCGGGGCATAGAGGCAACGAAAAGGTTGACATGCGGGCCAAAAATGGAGCCAATATGGACTCTCTAGGCTGAGAACTCTACTGCGGCCTAGCAGCCTGCCAAAAAAGAGGATACATTTTAAAATGGATCCTTAATGTGTCTAAAACCTGGTGGAACAATACCGCAGGTATGAGGCCACGATGAGATTCATAGAAGGACCATCCGCAAAACTTATAAAAGAATTACTGGAAGGCAACCGCAACCGAACCAGGATTCTGGTTGGACTCCTGACAGGGCACTGCCACTTAAGAAAGCACATGTACCGTGTTCGGGCGCGTCTACGTCACCGAAGCGCCCGATTTGCGACGTAGATTGTACCCCTCTATCTACAACCCCTATCTTCTAGAAATCCCCCAATCGTAATACATTTCCCTCCTTTTTCCTTAAAAAACTCATCCCTTCCAGCCCTCTCGGGCTCCTCTTCTCCGCCAGCTCTCGGAGCGAGCACACGTCCTATCGCCCTATCCCGCTAAAGTGTTGCAACATAGTAATTCACCTCCGTGTAAGATGGCCGCTTCTTAAAGTTTTCCTTGCCACGCGAATCCTCACGGATTCCTCCGCAAATCGCCATAAGCTCTTCACCTCCGCTTGCGTCTCATCTCATGACCGCATGGTCAACAAACCTATCATCGCCATTTTCCCTTAATATATCATCTCCTTCTTCCATCTACCATCATTATAATCCCGCGAACGAAACATCCTTTCATTATCCCGCGAAGACTCCATCATCTCACTGGCTACTACCTGGATTGCATCGTCTCATCCTCACCGCTACTGGATTGCGTCATCCAGCGACGCTGCAGGACCCGGGTCGGTATACCGGCCTAATCATCGCCAAACAACGCACGATATCGCATTCAGGAGACCTTCACCGCTTCCCGGTCTTCATCGCCTTCAGACCGTCATCGCCTTCAATCTCCAATACGATCATCTGCCACTTTGTAAGCCATAGAAAC